ACTAACTGTAGTTGTTTGGTTGTGAACTATACAGGTCTTTGTGATGGATTTTTACAATCTGCAAAAAACACCGTGTTCTTATAGTTGTGAATCAGCTAGGTTTCTGCAGTGAAATTATTTTCCCTTCAAAACCTTGTGATGTTTTAGGACAAAGATGTATCTTTTTTTTTTACTTAGGACAATAATTACAAATTTTATATTTAATAATGGCTGGAGACGGCTTAAATGGGTAATGAAGAAAAACTTTAATATAAGTTTAACATGACAGCAAATTTTATATTTACACATCACAGGTACATGTTATGTAGATACTTTATAATACTAAATACAAAGCAGTAAAATCAAATCAACTTGACATTTGTCAGATCTGTTTCACAATTCTAAAACCATAAATATCTTATCTAATTACTACTGTAAATTAAAAATATATACTTTTAACATTTTGAGCTTTCATAATTTTAAAATTATATACATTCAATTGGTAAAAATCAATGAAATATATATTTTTACTACTGTATTTGAAGTCATAGTAAATATTCTTCATTAATTAGGTCACATATACACTATATATATATTAGTAGTGGTATGTAATATTAACTCAATAAAGGTATAACTCATTTCTCAATTTATTTTATTGTATTGCTTTGAGATTTTAAGCATATAGAGGTCAAAATACACAAATCTTGTACATATGCATCTTAAAATTACATTCAAGTCTATACTACAATAACTACTTAGTGTTTCCTTTGACTATCCACCAAAAGCCAGTTTCAGTTAAACTATAAAACAAAAGAAAAATTTGACTTCAATTACCATATGGAGGTTTGGTTAAGCTCAGGCAATTGAGATGGTAAGCTTTTGGACACCCTTTTCTGTCACACATTAAAATTTCTCCTCCTTCTCTACATCGAAAACATTCATCTTCATGTTTGGGCACTTGGGATTTTCTCTTCTTCTTTTTAACAACATTTTCTTTGGCTCGTTTTTCCTGTAAGATTAGTGCTGCTGTCTGTGTTTGTGGAAAGAAACCAAACATGTCATAAGCATTTTAGAAACTAAAACACAGCTCAGACAAATAAAACCTTAGAACTAGCAATCCAAAACAACTGAAACCTTTAAAAAACTAGAATCAACAATACAGAGTAACTAAAACCTTTAAAATACTAGAACCAACAATCCAAAATAGCTAAAATCTTTAAAAAAACTAGAACCAACAATCTAGAATAAATAAAATCTTTAAAAACTAGAACTAACAATCCAGAATAAATAAAACCTTTAAAAATTTAGAACCAACAATCCAGAATAACTAAAATCTTTAAAAAACTAGAAACAACAGTCCAGAATAAATAAAATCTTTAAAAAACTAGAACTAACAATCCAGAATAACTAAAACAAGAACAAACAATCCAAAGTAACTGAAAACTTTAAAAAACTAGAACTAACAATCCAGAATAACTAAAACTTTTAAAAAACTATAATTAACACTTTGAGATTGATAAAATTTAAAAAAATCCTAAAACCAACAAAGTGGGACAATTAAAGCTTTAATCACAAACGAAACTTTTAAACATCTAAAAAGAAAAAAAAAGTTTACAAAGTGTTCTTTATAAAATGTTAATGTCACAAAATTTCATAATATACAATTTAGGTCATGCAGTGAAAATCATTTGAATAGCCTTAGAATACTTTGGAAGGAAGTGAACAATGTACGAGTGTAATGGTTGCAGTAAGGTAGACCATTCTTTCAAATTTTTAGTGAAGTATAAAGAAAGATAGTAATTATGCACCATAACTTCATACACTGGCAAGTACTTCTGAATATGATAAGAAGGGACTAAATATGTTTGAAGTTTTGGTACTCTTGCAGGAACCTTCACCAGATATGTCAAAGGTTTTCCAAAAGAAAAAAAAGCATCAGTGTTATTCTACGTTTTTCATGTGTGTTTATAGTTTTGTCAAAACCTAGTCTTTCAAAATAGCTGGAAACTTTTCAGTTAAAATATAAATCAACTCATCCCTTAGAAACAAACATTACTTCCATTTCTTTGATGAAACAAATCAATATTTTTTTCTTTCACTGAAATACAATGAATAAAAATTAAAGTTTTTGGGACTCCCATCTAGAACAATAAGTACATTCCAATCCATTTTTCATATCATCTTGTTTGTTTATATTCCTCAAAGATATTTTGTAAAGTGAACTTTCATAACGCAAGGTAGATTTTACCCTTGACTACCATTACATAATTGGAGATACATTCTCAACGAAAAAAAAAGGCCAAAAGCTTTATAGGAAAGATTTTTCATAGAAAAATCTCTCTCCACAGCAGGGCAGAAAAAGTTGATAAACCAATCCTTGAAAATTGTTCTTGTTGGACCTCTAAATGACTGGCAGATTGGTCTTGATGTACCCCTTAGCTTTCTGCAGATTCTCAGAATGGTGGATCATAAGGGGGCGAATAATTGCCTCCCAGAATTAGGGAAACTCCGTCTTTGAAAGCTTTATGACCTGGTGCTGGCTTCTTCCTCCAATATAGATCAGTTTCGTCAACACTGAAAATTTGACGGGTTGTATGTCCTCCTTATTCAATAATACCTTTTAGAACTGGTAGGTATGCTGCTGCTGCCTCACTGGTCATCTATAGGCTGTGTAGATTGTGCCCTTTTTTTTAACCTGTCAAGCCAGCCTTTGCTTGCAGTAAAAGTTGTAGTTTCTTTAGTACTTGTACTAGGTCCTAGGTATATATATAAATATATATATACACACACACACAAATAATGATAATACTGTAAGAAAGAAATTGGCAAAAAAATCGTAACTCCACGGTTTGGTACAAAAACTTTTTTTTTTCATAACTTTGAATTTTCATTAACCAGGCATTCGTAGAGCAGGGTCTACCTGTACATAAATTTCAGATGCAAGAAACACTACTCCTCATATGAAGGTGACTGAGATTAATTTTCTAAAATGAAATGCTAAAGCTGTATCTACTAGAAACTTTTTTTAAAAAGTTACAAGTTATATACAACATGAAATACATCAGGAATTTTCAATCTCAACAGCCCCCTCAAGAAGGTAAACATACTGAATCTTTATGTTCAGTAGCTTCAGAAATAAAGTCAAAGATTAAATAATTTTAAAGTTTCACTAGACATCTTTTAAAATACCAGATGAGAGCATCTTGCTTAAAACACAGTTGAATACATGCATTTCAAAAAGCTCCAAAGCAGGAGGATAAGTTGATAGTTGTATGGTTTTAAATCCATTTACCACAAAAATCCACCTAATTATCCAAATACTTAACATCAATAAAAGTAATTTAAGATATTAACTATCAGTAAATAGAAGTTTTCTTACTTTCTACAAGTATAGCTCTTAGAATTAAACACAAACACACCTTTGGTCGAACTCCAATAAAACCACTACAGTTTGGTGCACCACATACACACTTTGTCTTCTCATTTCCACGACACTCCAAATTATAGTTGAACGTAAGCTCTGAGCCTGAATATAGAAATATCTAATTAGATGAATAATAATAAGCCACAAAATTCTTTTGAAGCTCTTACATTCAAGTTTAGTAAAATTATTACACCCAATTGTAAACGACTGTTAGGATCAACTGAAAGATGAAAACCTAAACATTCTAATCATTAAAACGTAATAGTTATTAAAATATGACAGCACTGGTTATCAAATATTAATACTGTAACTTTTTTTTTAACAGGTCACCACCCCTGGTTTACTCATATTTATAAGCTCCCCCTCTCAAAACTACGGTGGATTGAAATGTGTAAAACCAGACTAGATATGTGTTAGGCATAGTGAATGAAGCTTTATATGCGACAATTCTTCTGAGGTAGTTAGTAACATTGCTAATTAGGCCCAACCTTGTCAGGTGTTCTTGGGTTACTGGCTGAAAATACTGATAGCAGCATGGATATCCAACTGATGACTAAGGCAGAGTGGTCATAAAGCTTTTTGTAATTTGGTTATTACTCATAATTAAGACCAGATATTAATGTAGAATTTTAGCAGCTCTTCTGACAGAAGTTATTACATAATTGAGGTAATTTCATTTATTATCATGTTATTGCAATTTCCTATCTTTCATTCATAATTTAATGCAACCATGCTTAAATATAACAACTTATGAGTGAAAAAAAAAGAATGTAATAATATGTCAACCACACTATAGTTGCTATATCCAGTGCCAATGAGTCCTTTCAGCTAACACCAGAGTTTATCACTGTTCTAAGTGGAATTTTTACAAGGTACTGTAATTACTTGGAGCCTATGTTTTGTTGTAGTACTCTACCTTCTCATATTTTGACATCCTTACTTCAAATTGAAGAAATATTTTCTGCCTGACTTTCTACCACCTAATGGTAAAATAATTAGTAAATAAAACCATGTTAAGCTGTATATTAACACCTACATTTGAAGCTTCAGGTGTCCCACCTGAAAATTGACACTACATATGCAAGATACAAAACATGGGTCAATTAGTTAAAATAATGTTTATTATATGAACTTCTAAACAAAAAAGCATACTAAGTATGCCAAAATAATATTTATTGAAGAACCTTCCTTCAGTATTATTAACAGATTAACAATTAATGTCTTAAGTAACACAATCTACCTGCAGGTATATCACAAATAGCAAAAAGTCCAACTCTAGTATCTCCGTTCACCGTCCACTTTTGGGTTTCACAGTTTGGCTGACAAGAGTGGTTCATAAAACGAGATAAATTGCCCTTGGGTCCAGCATCAATGATGCGGTCTTTATCAATAGTTAGAAAGTAGAAATTTGTGTCATTTTCTTCATGCATCTGTTTGAGTCGTTTCTGACATTCTTCTTCATCAATCAGCTCCCCTACATATTCAATCACAAATTCGCCCTGGCATGGAAATAGGTTTGGAACATTTATACAGTAGTTCAGTACACTAACAAACCAGAAAAATAGTCACAAGTCTGTTTTGCATACTTCAGTCTATTTCTATCCTTAAGAAATAAATATTTCCTCACAACTGTTCACATAAACACTGGAAATTACACAGAGCTCATAAAATTGATTAACAAAAAATAAAATACTTTTACAGCACTCTTAATAAAAGTTGGTATGTACAACATCTAAAACATGTTACCTACATGATAGATTACCAGTAAGAAAATTATATACTACTTCACATTCTAGTGGGGCTAAAATTATCAAATGCTTAAGTTCCTGTCAACCCCACCTTTTTTTTTCAATAGATGAATGGAGGACCCATTTTTGTAAGAAGTGTGTTTGCGTGCAAAATCAGGGTAAGCCATCACATCAACCCCAAGTAGACTGTTTCTAAACTACAAGGTAATAACACTTCTAGATCTTTCGTAATGAATAATAAAAGAAAACTTTGTGGGTTTCTTGGATGTTAAACCTCTCGTTACAGGTAGGTCAAAGTATGCACGTCAACTTTTTAGAGTTACATTCAAAATTTAATTAAAGTACTTTTTATCATTGCATACAAATAAACTTGGCATCAAATCATACGCAATAAATCAAATTTTAACATCATATAAGTTATAAGTTCCTATCTTTATAAGAAAATATTTAAAAGAATATTCAATATTTCCTAGTAAGAGAATTGAGACATTTTTTCTCTTTGTCTTCCCTAATTTATTTATCACCTCTCTGAGAAGTACAGAATTTAACGTACAGATATTATTACTAAGGCAAAGCATAATTTTTATCCATCAATCTTATTTGTTTACGAAGTCAGAAACTAGAAAATCAGACCCACTTGCCATGCCCACCTGTCATATCCTTCCTTTTACAAATTGCTAATAGTTTTCTCTGACACTTTATACTATATTATTTACAATCAATACGAAGCCAAGGTTTTAATCTATCACATTAAGTATTATATTACGTTATTTTCTGTATAGAGTAATGTATATTTCATCCTTAGTTTGAAAGTTTCTCTCATGGTATTCAGATTCACAAGCTTAAATATTTAAAGGATCTTATGGCACAGTTAGAGAGCCAGATAAATTATTATAGTTATAGGAAATTATTTGCTTTGTGTATGTTATTATTCTGCATTCTTAAGTAAATAAAAATTGTTTAATGTACAAGTACCATTAGTGGACTTAAATTTCATCTGCAACTGACAGAAAAAAACAAGAGGTCACTGGTGATATATTTCTTACTTTTCATGTATATTATTTATTTATCATAATTATAAAAGTTACTTAAATGTAAAAGTTAGAAACTTATTACGTTAGATTAAGTATGATAATGAAAAAAAAAAGTTTTCACAAGGTATGCTTGCAAGCAGCTCGTGCATCATGTCATTAAATATCGTAATGTTAGCTATGCATTTGCTGCGTGATTTACAACTTGTGTACTTGGATTATTAGTTAGACATGGCTTAAAGGGCAATAAAACAATAAAATTAAGTATAAACAGATGTGTACTGTTATGAACCTCAAGGATTTAGGATAAGCAATTTTAGTTTTATGTTCCAAATTGCAGACATTCTAAAAAGGTAATTTAGATTAAAAATGTTTGTTATGGTGGTTACAAAGTCGTTCAACTCAACCAATTGCATATAGACCTAGGGCAGAGAAAATTATAGATAAAATATAAAGTTTACAGAAAAACAAAATGTTTGATATTTATGTAGGATGTTTTAGAGATTATGTAAACGAAATTTGACAATTTACAGATGAAGTAAAGTATTGTTAAGCCTAACATGAAAATCACTTCACACTAGGAGCAGTCAACACTCTGACTTTATGTATTCAGACAATGTTTTAGTAAAAATACTTAAAAAAATATGATTATTTGTGTAGAAGACTTGTAATGTTTGCTGAAAGCTTGCCAAATTTTGTGAAAATGCACAAAATATTAAAAAAATTATAGTACGGAAACTGATGGTTACTTTAGGGTTACAAGGTTGGTCACATTAACCGAGCCCATAATGAAATGGTTTAAATGCTAATTTAAATTTTTTTATTACAGATGTTGAAACTGGAGATGCAAATGAGGTAAAAGCCTGTTTTTAAATTCAAGACCAATATTTTGAAAGTAAGTTTTTTAACCTTTTTTACATCTCTGAGAGCCTGAAGCCCCCAGCCTCTGTCTTCCACTCTGAATGGTGCAGCTGGAACATACTGTCGTTTCTGAAATCTCTGATTCTGGCACAAGTCTCCCGCTGGACAAACACTTGGGTGACATTCAAACATCAACATGTGGTTAAGACAATCTGTCTCATTACCACATGGGTTGCTAGACTTGGGGTCACACTCACAACGATTCAGACTTAATAGGTCTGCTGTATAGATTTGTACTTTCCCAATAGGTTTATTAGTCTGGAAAATAAAATGTATTAAGTGTTTTAAGTCTACATACCATAATATATCCAATTCTTTAAAATTTTATATTATCTACCAGTAGGTAAGCCTAATAAATAAACTATTCCTATGTTTTTGCCAAAAGTAATAAACAGCAAATATATAAGCCTGACATATGCTTTTTGATTATTAAAACATCAAATTATTTCAATGCTCACAATTCATATTTCAATTTACGGTTTTTACCTTGTCTTTTTAAAATACATATATAATAAATGTTAAATGCAATTTACAAGAACGATGTTTCAGGTCCTGTGCCACAGATTGAGCTTCATCAATCATGCTCAAAGTATGTGGTTGAGTGGGATTGTTATGATTCTGATTAGTCATTCTTTAGTCATTCTTCTTATGGTAATAGCCACTTATTTAATTGTGTGGTTAGAAGCTAGTGAACACTAGTCAACTTCACTTCTATTTGTGGTGTGGTTTCAAAGTTAATTGGTGCCCTAACCCTTTCCAGGGTGTTACTGGTATCCCATGAATTTTTCCTTTTCAAAGCAGAAATAATTCAGAAATTGCAAGGAACTTAGTACAAATCTACTTTCTGCTACAAAAATACACATAATTTGGTTTAGTATTCCTAAAATTATTACATCTTAGAATTTAAATTTTGATATTATTATTATTGGTTGGAAAGTTCCATTTTATATATCTAGTCAGTTTCGACTAGTTTGATATTCATTAATATGCTTTTGATACATTATTTTGCATATGAAGCAGTAACCAGCTCTGACTATAAATCACATAATACATATGAAAAAACTGACAAAGATTAGTAAATGTCAATGACTTCAACTTTCAAACTGAACAATGATTTTTTACTCCAAGAATACTTTTGGTCAAGATTAATTATATCAAGTAAACAGTTTTTTGAACAGCCAGTCTATAAGAATAGGTACTCATGTTTGTCAATCTTTGAAAATATAATTAACTAGCCTTGCATGATCTGTCACAAAATGATGAGTTGGAGTTTCATAAAAAGTCCTCATGTGCTCTCACATAACTTCCCCCTTCATTATAAAATAAAAACAATTTTCAAGTACACTTTCAAATAATCAATATAAATGGTGCAAACTTAAGTTAAAAATGATTCACAAGCATTACATAATTGGCATTTATGTACATTAGATATATTAAAACCTATGATATATTAAGATTACACCTTCATTCCAAGGCTATGGAAGATCCGGGGTAGTAATAAACAAATCTAGGCAGTAGGAATCCAAGGCCTCACTAACATAATCTTATCACCCAAACCTTGCCTCATAATGTGCCAGCGGAAATTGCTGAAGTATACCCAATTTATCTATTTCATGAAGATGTCTTATTCAAATGACTGCGGTAAGTGGAAGATTTCACAAGTCCATCAATACTTCACACATACCAAAAAACCTTTTCTAATTATGTTATATAACCCACAATTTACAGTTTAAACAATGAAAGAAGATAAAGCAATGAAAACCAATTGGCCTAAGGTTTAGGATCAAAAAATTCTATTACAAAGTTTAAAATTAAAAATTAATTTCAAGTACCATCATTAGTTAAGATGTTTTTAAAACTTTGAAATGTCTACATCAAGCTAAGTACACACACAAACTAAAATAACCTAATAAAGTAAAATTCGAGCCAGTCTTCATGAACATTTGAAGTATTATTAACATAAAGACGACAATATCAGATCAGGCAAATGAAGCATTACCAAAAGACAACTAACTTTTATATATACTAGCAGAAATGCCACCCTATGGGAGGCTGTTTGTGCTATTATTCATACTTCATTAAAAATTTAGAAAAGTGAATATTTGCTAAAACAAAAAAGGATTTTTTCTGGGAAGTACTGCACAGGAAGTGTTCAGATTGTGCTGATATAAACTGTAACATTTTTATGTATCAAAAGTTGTGCCATTTATTGAAAAAAATAACAGTTTTTTTTAAGAAATCAAATCTATAATACTATATTCACAAATTATGTCAATAAAGATATAAGCAAACCCTCATGTACAGTCCTAGCAAAAATCGTGTTCTTGTTGTGAGGAGAGTACTTATATTTAAAATTGTGTTCTGTGATAAAGTAATGGTTGTTGCACATATTGTAGTTATTTTTCAAACTATCTGAATCTTTAATAACCAAAGTGTGAAATTGTTTTTATGGATTTTTGTTTTTGGTACTATTCAATAGATACATATATGCACACTACACCAATTATAGTAAGATTAAACTGCACTTCAAACACTTTTCCCCCCATCAAGAATAAATATTTTATAATATATTCTTCCTCATCTATAGGTGCATGTATTTTGCTCAAAAGTGTATTAGGGACTTAAGAAATGAATACAAGGCATGTTTATAAAACAATATGGAAACCCTAAGGCCATTAATGTGTAACTGTATGCTACCAACTCCTTAAGTGTCATATCAATTAGGTAGTCAAACTTAGCTAGCACAATTAATACTTTGAACTTTGAAAATACTGGTGAGTTTGCCTCTGGATGGATTAAGCATCCAAAACATGGTGCACAAAATACTGGTCCTTTTATAGAAGAAATTAAAGCATTCTGTTTCATAAACTCTCAGTTGTGCAGATGCTAATAGAAGTAGAGAAGCAGCTCATTCATATGAGTAAAAAGTTTTCTCAATTCTTGATATGAAGAGCATCAGGGATGAAATGATGATTGCTTGAAAAAGCCCGAAAACTGCAATCGCAGCTCCTTGCTCGATGCAGATTTCTAGTCGACTGGAAACTGATTCTCAGCATTTGCCAGCATACGAGATGAAAAAAATATTTCTCTTATTTTGTCTATTATATGATATCTTTTAATGAAACCCATTTCTGTCACTTGCCCAGTTAGTTTTGTGAAAGACTTTGGAACTTAACAACAGCCATTGTTTTTCTCTGACTTGGTTTTACCCAAGATCTAAGATCATCTTCTGCCTCAAAGTTGCCAGTACATGAAATTGGCTCATGTTTTGATCAGCTCCCCCATTCACAGACTACTTTCCATACCTTCCCATATGAACTTGTTTATTATACAGTGTAGAGATCTGATTAGGAGAGACAACTGGAGTATTTGAAGC